TTTTCCTTGACTGAGGTTTGTACTCTCTGGCCTCCTATACTGAACTTCGTCTGTGGTCTTCTTTGCCCATCCCCAATCTTCATGACTTTGCACTTGGTGGGATTGAACTCCAGGAGCCAATTGCTGGACCAGGTCTGCAGCCTGTCCAGATCCCTTTGTAGTTCTGCCTGGTCTTCGATCGAATGAATTCTTCTCATCAACTTCAAATCATCTGCAAACAGGGACACTTCGAAATCTATTCCTTCCGTCATGTCGTTCATAAATACCAGAAACAGCACTGGTCCTAGGACTGACCCCTGTGGGACCCCGCTGGTCATAGGTGCCCACTCTGACACCTCGCCACGTACCAAGACTCGCTGCTGTCTTCCTGACAAGCATTCCTTGATCCATTGTAGTGCCTTCCCTGTTATCCCTGCTTGGTCCTCCAGTTTTTGCACTAATCTCTTGTGTGGAACTGTGTCAAACGCCTTCTTGCAGTCGAAGAAAATGCAATCCACCCATCCCTCTCTCTCTTGTCTTACTGCTGTCACCATGTCATAGAACTCCAGTAGGTTTGTGACACAGGATTTCCCATCCCTGAAACCATGTTGGCTGCTGTTGATGAGATCATTCCTTTCTAGGTGCTCCACCACTCTTCTCCTGATAATCTTCTCCATGACTTTGCATACTATACATGTCAGTGACACTGGTCTGTAGTTTAGTGCTTCATGTCTGTCTCCTTTTTTAAAGATTGGGACTGCATTTGCTTCTTCCATGCCTCAGGCAATCTCCCTGTTTTGATAGATGTATTGAATATTGTTGTTAGTGGTATACATAGCGCCTCTTCTCCCTCTCTCAGGACCCATGGTGAGATGTTATCCGGCCCCATTGCCTTTGAGGTATCTAGCTCACTCAGATGCCTCTTCACTTCTTCCTTGGTTGTGTGTACTGTGTCCAGCACTTGGTGGTGTGCCCCACCTCTCCGTCTTTCTGGAGCCCCTTCTGTCTCCTCTGTGAACACTTCTTTAAATCTCTTGTTGAGTTCCTCACATACTTCACGGTTATTTCTTGTTGTCTCTCCTCCTTCCTTCCTTAGCCTGATTACCTGGTCCTTGACTGTTGTTTTCCTCCTGATGTGGCTGTATAACAGCTTCGGGTCAGATTTGGCTTTTGCTGCTATGTCGTTTTCTTATTGTCGTTGGGCCTCTCTTCTTATCTGTGCATATTCATTTCTGGCTCTACGACTGCTATCCTTATTCTCCTGGGTCCTTTGCCTTCTATATTTCTTCCATTCTCTTGCACACTTGGTTTTTGCCTCCCTTCACCTTTGGGTGAACCATGGGCTCACTCTGGCTTTTCCATTAGTCCTGTTACCCTTGGGTACAAACCTCTCCTCAGCCTCCTTGCACATTGTTGCTACATATTCCATCATCTCATTAACTGGCTTCCCTGTCAGTTCTCTGTCTCACTGAACCCCATTCAGGAAGTTCCTCATTCCCGTGTAGTCCTCTTGCTTGTAGTTTGGTTTCATTCGTCCTGGCCTTCCTGCTTCCCCCTCCACTTGTAGCTCTACTGTGTATTCGAAGCTTAAACCACATGATCGCTGGCCCCAAGGGGTCTTTCATATGTGATGTCCTCAATATCTGCACTACTCATGGTGAATATTAGGTCCAGTCTTGCTGGTTCATCCTCTCCTCTCTCTCTTGTAGTGTCCCTTACGTGTTGGTGCATGAAATTTTCCAGTACCACCTCCATCATCTTAGCCCTCCATGTGGCTCTTAGTTCTCCCAATCGATCTCCTTGTGGTTAAAATCGCCCATGATCAGGAGCTTTGCCCTGCATGCATAAGCTCTTCTGGCCACTGCAGCCAGTGTGTCAACCATCACTCTATTGTTCTCGGCATACTCTTGCCTTGGCCTCCTGCTGTTCTGTGGTGGGTTATACATCACTGCATTTACCACCTTGGGACCTCCAGAGTGATGTGTTCCTGCTATGTAATCGCTTGCTTCTCCGCTGTCTCCTCTCTCCAGCTCATCAAAATTCCATCGGTTTTTGATCAACAGTGCCACTCCTTCACCCCCCCTTGTTACCTTTGTCTTTCCTTAGGATCTGGTATCCCGTTGGAAAGATGGCATCTGTTATCATACCTGTTAGCTTGGTTTCTGTGAGAGCTATGATGTCCGGTGATGCCTCTTTGACTCTTTCGTGCCACTCCTCCCACTTATTTGTTATTCCATCAGCGTTTGTGTACCATACCTTCAGTTTCCTTTCCAACACTGTGGTTTGGGGGGCCTGTGAGGGTGGGAGACCTGGTAGCATACTGTGAGATTCTATAGCTGGGTGTTAGGTGGAAGCTGTGCGTGTGGATTATAGTTTGTGTTAGGATGGTGTTCTGAGGATAGTTCTGTGTGTGCTGGCCCTTGCTGCTCTCTTCTGCTTTGACTGACCTATGATGGTTCCATCCTTGTCTCCTTTCGTAGCTCCTTTCGCTTTTCTGTCCTCTCCCTCAGCTGCTGTCGTTCTGTTTGTGTTCTGTCTCTGTCTAGGAACACCCTCTTGTTCTCTTCCGAGTATTTCAACCGTGGTTTTTCTTGGAGGATCCTGTTCCACACTGTTCCTGTCCTGAGAATCAGCTTGATCGGTCGTTTTCTCCCCTTCAAGTACCCCCCTATTCTCTGAAAATTTACAATCTCATCCATGTCTTCTTCACCTATTTCCTTGATAATGTTTTCAATCTCCTTTCTTTCTGCCTTCCGTCTTTCAGTGTGTGTCCTTTCCTCTCCTGAAACCCGTGGATAAACACTGATTTAGCCCTTTCCTCCTCCCATTGCCTCTCCCTCTGTGACTCTGGTTCCTGTCTGTAAGTGGTCATTTTCTCCCTTGTTTTTTCCAGTGGCTCTTGGTAGCATTGTTGTGCCTCTGCATTTGACCTAACACCCTCTCCACTTGCACCCAGCTGCTCACCCCTTTCACTCTTCGGCCCTTCTTGGCAGGTTGATATGGCCTAAGCATAATTTATATCTCCTTCCTTCCTGTTCGGCCTCTCAGCTTCATATGCTGTGTCTTCTCTGGTTAATGTCCCTGTAACTTGCTTCAGCCTGTTTACCACATCTTCTCGGACCCTTATCCTGGTTATTGCAGTTTCAACTTGTGCCTCCCAATTCCTCTTCTCCTTCTCCAACCTCTTTTCTAATTTCACAGAAAGCTCTGTCTCCATTTTTTCAGAAAGCTCTCCTAATTTTCTCTCCCACTCTTGTTCCATCCTTTTGCACTGCACCTCCATCCACTCCTCCCTACCAGAACCATTCTCATCTGATCCCTGTGCGCGTGTATGTGTGTGTGTGTGTGTGTGTGGAGTGGAGGAGGGAGAAGGGAGGTAGGGAGGGGAGAAGGAGAGAGAGAGGGGGGAGGGGGACACTGGCGAAGGGGAAGAGAGATGTGGAGGGGAAAAGAGAGAGGAATAAGCTGAGAGTGGGAGAGAGAGAGACAAAGAGGGAGAGAGGAGGGAAGAGAGAGAGGGAGGGAGAGAGGGTGAATCAGGGGTAAGGAAAGGAGAGGAGGGGGAGAAAGGAAAAGGATTAGGAGGAGAGACAGAGAGGAGGGGAGCAGGGGAGTGACCGACGGGGATAGTGAGAGAGAGAGGTGGGGGAGAGTGAAGGCCGAGTGGGGGGAGAGTGAAGGCCGAGTGGGGGAGAGTGAAGGCCGAGTGGGGGGAGAGTGAAGGCCGAGTGAGGGAGAGAGAAGGCCGAGTGGGGGGAGAATGAAGGCCGAGTGGGGGGAGAGTGAAGGCCGAGTGGGGGAGAGAGAAGGCCGAGTGGGGGAGGAGAGAGAAGGCCGAGTGGGGGGAAATGAAGGCCGAGTGGGGGAGAGTGAAGGCTGAGTGGGGGAGAGAGAAGGCCGAGTGGGGGAGAGTGAAGGCCGAGTGGGGGTAGAGTGAAGGCCGAGTGGGGGTAGAGAGAAGGCCGAGTGGGGGAGAATGAAGGCCGAGTGGGGGAGAGTGAAGGCCGAGTGGGGTAGAGAGAAGGCCGAGTGGGGGAGAGTGAAGGCCGAGTGGAGTGAGAGTGAGGGGGAGAGTGTGTGTGTGGGTGACCAACTATGTGTCTGCATAAATAACTCATTAGTTTGGTGACCAGATATGAAACTAAATGTATCATTACCACAGTACCTCGTTCAGTTATCAAAACTTTGTTCTCCAGTACCTGGACCCACTGAACACCTGTCATGTTTTGACTACCGCCCACAGGATGGGTATGGCGTGACTACCGCCCACGGGATGGGTATGGCGTGACTACCGCCCACGGGATGGGTACGGCGTGACTACCGCCCAAAGGATGGGTATGGCGTGCATAATAAAAATATTAGGCTAACTAATCACCTGTAATTCATGTAAATCCTGGGAGATAAGGAATACCACAGAAGACAACGCTGGTGCTGTGTAGATAAGCTACAACACTCTCTCCAATACTGAGGTAATTTTAGGTGTAATAGATTCTACATTCTCACCATTTTTCACTAACGTTCAGGTAGTGTTGCGGTGATAGAATAACACATTACATACACACTGTACTCTGTGAGTAAGAAACACTCAGTGTAGTACAGATAAGATATACGTAACGCGACTTTGTACTCTAGTTACATCACAATGCTGACTGTCTCACACTGTGGAACTGTCACGTGTAGTGCAGTAGATGGAACGTACTCATTATTTTACACTATGAAATATTCAGGTATAATGGTGTCGGGAGAGTACAACACATTACATACATACTGCCCATAACTGAGTAAGGAACACTCAGGTATAGTGGTGTCGGGAGAGTACAACACATTACATACATACTGCCCATTACTGAGTAAGGAACACTCAGGTATAGTGATACAGATGAAATATAACTGAAGTGTCTGCTATACAAGCAGGATCCCAGGCTGGTGGTGTGGTAGAGGTTTACCAGAAGCACTCAATGTTCTGCTCTTTGAAGATGCATATCAAGGTGGGCGAACAATGGATATAAAATGCTACTTACTGTCCCACACAGTGAGGGAAGGAACACTAGTTCAATGTTGGGCAGAGACAGTTCACTGTAGTGAGGGATCACTGGCAGCATTAATCTGTTGATTCCTCGGTGCCTAAAACTTCCATTCAGAAATTCTGAATAATTTTTTCTCCATCTTCCACATTAATATTTGCCCTGCTGTTTAATATAGACATCAAATGTTTCTTATGGAGGTAATTTCTGGATATGAAATAATGACCCCAGTTCATCACAAAACTTGGAGTAAATGTTGATAGTAGTAACAGATGTGAACTGAGGACGTGTGTGCAGCCACGGACAAGGTCGTAAATATGAAGCATATTTCTAGCTTCACAGAGTCCAAAGATGATTGTATAGAGAATTACTGAACAAAACTATACAAACTATTTATATTTAAATCAAAACAAAATCATATTTTGCACATTATATAAAAAGAAATTACATAAACGAACATTCAATTAAATAAAGAAATGCAAAATCATAATATTGGAATTATTTTTCTAAATATTCTAACTAATTATCTTTTTTCAGTATTTATGTCGTTACATCTAATTTGTTTTTCAATGGATGGAAGTGGAGACTAGGACGTATTATATCAAATGTCAGGATTTAGGAGTTAAACACAATGAAGTGATCGTTAAAACCGTACAAAAAAGGGTTCCCGTTGTGCCTTAATGTTAGTAAACAACTGGTGGCCTGGTGGCTAAAGCTCCCGCTTCACACACGGAGGGCCCGGGTTCGATTCCCGGCGGGTGGAAAACATATCGACACGTTTCTTTACACCTGTTCACCTGGCAGCAAATAGGTACCTGGGTGTTAGTCGACTGGTGTGGGTCGCATCCTGGGGGACAAGATTAAGGACCCCAATGGAAATAAGTTAGACAGTCCTCGATGACGAACTGACTTTCTTGGGTTATCCTGGGTAGCTAACCCTCCGGGGTTAAAAATCCGAACAAGATCTTATCTTATCTTATCTCTTAAACCCATCTCTGACCTTGAGCATATAAGGCGCAGGCTGATTTTCCGAGACTTCTCGTGGGGAAGAAACACACTTTATATGCCAGAATATACGGTACTTTTTCATTATATACAATGTAAATAATTATACGAACACCTGTCAGGAATATACGAGTATACAAGGGAACCTTAAATAATCATACATTGCACGCTCATAACATTCACCACACGGCCTGGAGTTTTACGACACATTCACCATAGGTTCAAACCCCACCAGAACAGGACAACTAAGACTGGCACACGGCCAAGGTCAAGCTGGTTCACGTGAAGATAAAAACTTTAGATTGTCATCTGGGAGAGACAGTGACTCAATAAAACGAACACAGTAGTAGTAGTAGTAGTGGTAGTAGTAGTAGTAGTAGTAGTAGTAGTAGTAGTAGTAGTAGTAGTAGTAGTAGTAGTAGTAGTAGTAGTAGTAGTAGTAGTAGTAGTAACAATAATAATAATAATAATACTAATAATAATAATAATAATAATAATAATCATAATAATAATAATAATTACAATAATAACAACAACAAAATAATAATAATAATAATAATAATAATAATAATAATAATAATAATAATAATAATAATAATAATAATAATAACAATAATAATAATTACAATAATAATAATAATAATAATAATAATAATAATAATAATAATAATAATAATAATAATTACAATAATAATAATAATAATAATAATAATAATAATAATAATAATAATAATAATAATAATAATAATAAGCTTTATTTCTGCAAGTACATGATACAGCCTATACAGGCCATACCAGGAGTTTACCTGGAGAAGGTTTCGGGGGTCAGTGCCCCCACTGCTCTGTCTGAGACCAGGCCTTGTGGTGGATCAGGGTCTGATTAACCAGGCTGTTAGTGCTGGAAGCAAGCAAACTGACGTACGAACCAGAGCCCGATTGGTCAGGTACTGACTGTAGGTGCCTGTCCAGTGCCTTCTTGAAGACAGTCAGGGGTCTATTGAAAATCCCCCTTATGTATACTGGAAGACAGTTGAACAGTCTTGGGCCCCGGACACTTATTGTGTTGTCTCTCAGTCTACTCGTGAGGCCCCTGCTTTTCATTGGGGGAATGTTGCATCTCCTGCCGAGTCTTTTGCTCTCACAGGGAGTGATTTTCGCGGCCATGTTTGGTACTAATTCCTCTAGGATTTTCCAAGTGTATATTATCAACCAGAGTAGAAACATTGGGAGTGTTTCTGTCCACCTGTTGACTATGTTCCCCATCAGTAAAATGGGTACCTGGGTGTTAGTCGACTGGTGTGGGTCGCATTATGGGACACTGACCTAATTTGCCCGAAATGCTCAGCATAACAAGGGGCTTTCTATGTAGTAGTATGTCATTGATGTCAGCAAGGCCTGTATACCATGTACATGTACTTGTAGTAAATGAAGATATTATTATTATTATCATTATTATTATAATTATTATTGCTATTATCTCTCGCCTGCGTTCCAGGGAATACAGATCAAAGGCCTTCAACAGTTCCCAGCGATTTAGGTGCCTTATCGTACTAACGTGTGCCGTGAAAGTTCTTTGTAAACTCTCCAGGTCTGCAATGTCGCCAGCACAGCAATATTCCAGCCTAGAGAGCGTCTCTAGCTTTGAAGGTTCTCATTATCCATCCTATCATTTTCCTAGCAGATGAGGTAGATACATTGTTGTGGTCCTTGAAGGCGAGATCCTCTGACATTACGTGTGCTATTACTCCAAGGTCACACTTGTCGAAAACTTTTAGCAGTCTGTGTATACTACATCAGAATTTTGTTTATCCTCTATAGTCTACAGCATCCAGGACCTGTAGAGGATGAACCTAATACAAATGTAGTATACATATGTACTTGTAGAAATAAAAAAAATATTATTATTTAACGAAGAAGACATATACAACATCTGGATATCTTTATTCTGTGTCTAATTCATCATCTCCTTGGTATTAAATATTACGGATATACATATTTTTTAAATAACTTTTTCTTTGAAATACGACATTAACATTGTTTACTTTTTACTCAATATTTACTTATTATTTCTAAACATGCTAATAATAACCCACATGGAGACAGAAACCAAGGTTAATTTATCTTTATATTTCCATCCTCTTTTGGGATCCTCTGTTGAAGAGGATCCCAGAACTGGGATCCAAATATACAGATAAATTAATCTTCTGAGCTTCTGTATCTATGAGGGTTATTACTAAGCAATGACAAGTATTCTGCCCCACGAAACATACATTATATTGCTTGAGTTTACTTGGGGTAGAAATAAGTAGAGAGAAGAAACAAAACCCCTTTCATATTTGCTGAGCACTGTTAGCAGTACAAACCTCTGGCGATCTTCTGTCCATGCTCAGGGACACTGTTAAACTGGACAAGAAACCATTGTTTAACATAGACCTTAACAAGGTATCAGAGGTCTCGTTAAACACTCGACCAGGATGGTGACGTGTACTTAGCTCTGTGAAGTTCTGCCCAGTGTGTTCCCCGCGAATCTGCACAAGATGTCCTCTCTTGAGCAACTGTACCAGCAGCTGAAAGAGGAGCTTAGGGTTGCTAAGCTTGAGATACGGCGACTGACGGAGGAAAACAAGAGGATTCGAAGTAATCCTGTTGTGAGTCCTCCGGTCAGGAGAGGAACCTGGTCAGTGGCCGGCCAACATGGAATAAAGCTGAAAATCAAGAAGTCTGTTGGAGTGGCGGAAACAACGAAGATCCAGAAGATTGCTGTGAAGACTTCCAACCCATTTTCGGTGTTACCAGACGAATGTGGGTTGTCTACTGGGAACGTCACAACGACCACCAAGGGAGCATTGGCAGACGTGAGTGAGACATCCCTTGATAACCCATTGAAGACCATCAAGAACGTCATGACAAATTCCACAAATGAAGGTAAGAACATTGTTTTAGTTGGAGACAGTCAGGTTAAGTTTATGGATAGGGCCTTTTGTCTTAGGGACAGGAAGAGGAGGCACAGGGTATGTTTTCCTGGGGCTGGGATGGGGGATATTGTTAGCCATCTGGACGACATCGTGAAAGGTAATGGGAGCAATCCTATTATCTGCCTCAGTGTGGGAGGCAACGATGTTGGCAGACGTAGGAGTGAGGACGTGATTAGCAGGTATAGGTCAGCAATAGAGATAATTAGGAAGAAGGGTGGGAACCCTGTCATATGTGTGGTATTTTGCCAAGGAGAGGAGTTGGAAACAAATGGTTGTCCAGGGCAATTGGTGTCAACTGCTGGCTGGACAAATACTGTAAGGAGAATGTGGTAACATTCATTGACAACTGGGACCTCTTCTATGGTAGAAACGATATGTATGCCAGGGATAGGGTTCACTTATCTAGGTCTGTGGTGGGGGCACTGGCAACGTCAGTGGAGGGAGCTGTTTGGGCTTTAAACTAGGAATATATAGTGGTATGGGTTTTGACGAAAATACAGTGAAGTTCCAGTATAGAAATACTATGAGTTCTAGGGGAACTAGTAATAGGCAGAATGAGGTGGATATTGGAAAGCCAATGGCACTAGGCGACAAGGACAGTAATAGGTTTAGTGAAAAAACAGATATGAGCAGGAAGGGTAAAGAGAAAGGAGAGTCTTTAAAATTATGTTATAGGCAATGAATGGATGTCTAGGGCAATTGGTATAAATTGCTGGCTGGACAGGTACTGCAAGGAACTTGCAATCCCATTCATTGATAACTGGGACCTTTTCTTTGACAAACGTGATATGTATGCAAGGGATGGGGTTCATCTCTCTGGGGATGGAGTGGTTGCATTAGCCAATTCAATTGAGAGGGTAATTGATGACTTGTCTAGGAATTTAAACTGATAGATAATAGAGGTATGGGTGTTTGTGGGAAATAATCAGGCTGCAGAATTAGGGTTAAAAACAGCAGTTATTACCGGTATACCTCAGGGATATGTTTAAAAGACAATATTCAAAAAGTTGCTAGTAATGGCAAATCAATTGATCAACAAACAAAGATAGATAGTAGAGGGCAACGAGTGACTAGCTCCCTAAAGGTTTA